TATCGCCACTCACACCACTGGTCCTGAAGGGATCATCCACCCTGGATTCCCTGTGTTTCCAGTTCCTATCTGTACCAGTGTACAAAGGAACATTAATTTATCAAAGGTTTTACTTGTCAAAGATTTTAATTAATTTATGGAGGAGCAAACCTGTGTTACTTTATTTATACATATATTCTCCAGTTTTTAAAAACCTTTTTGTAAAGTGGGTGCTTTGTATAGATCATTGTTCCATCCAATCATGAACATATTATTTCATGTCTTTGATTGTAATCACAACATTGTGACATCACTTATCCCATTTCTTCCCTGTAATTTTCTCTTTCAAGTTTCCTTTCCCCTTGCTTCTAAACTTTGTCTTTGGTTAAATACTGCTTTTTTTATCTCAAATGGTCGATGAGTCTCAGGCGTGCATACCTCCCTGGTGTCATTATTCCCCTTATATTCACTGCCATCAAGGCAATGCCATATCATAGTGACTCTACAGAACAGGGTAGAACTGTCCCTGTGGGTTTCCAAGACTGTAACTATTTACAGAAGTAGAAAGCCCCATCTTTCTGCCACAGAGCACCTGGTGGTTTCAAACTGCTGACCTTGCTCCCTGTTCCCATTATAGATGTATCTACTGTTTGGCTGAACATTGAACTGTGGAGTCCGTTTCCAGACCTGAAGGGTGTGGAAGGGTGTAGCTCAGGGATTCCACCAGTGTCTGTCCCACCAGTAAGCCTGGTCTTTCTGATGATTTACCACCTAGAGCCCCAAGAGAAAGTACTCTAAGACCCAAGTGATTGGCTTCAGTGTTTCTCATTGACTCTTTAACTTAAAAGAGAACTCTTTGTGCTTCCCTTTTCTAAATCCTATAGTATTCTCTTCCTCATTCTGCTTCATTCATTCCGTTCTAAACATGCATGGCAGAACTTCTTTGTGTCAGATACTATAATGAAGCATTGAAACTTTGATTGTTTGTAAAAAAAAAAAAAAAGGTGCCCCGTGCCCCATCTCACTTTTTTTCATGGTATTTTTTAAATGTCTAAATTATATTTTCCTTGATATGACAAAAAAAATGGTTGTTAAAAGTTTATGGTGCCCATAGTTTTTTTCATTATTGGTGCTCTAAAAGCCCTTGCCAGGAATCTCTTTCAAAACATGGTTGCTATTTATATTAGTAATAGATTTTTAGAGTTGCTAAGAAGTTAAGGAGCTCTTGTAGCATGAGTTGGTAATGTGTTGGGCTGCTAACTACAAAGTCCGAGTTCCGGTACTGCAGCCACTCTGGTGAAGAAGCATCAGGCTGTCCCCTTGAAAAACAGAGAGGCAGTCTGCTGTCCTATTGGGTTGCTGTGAGCCGGACTCAATTTAATAGCAATGACTGGTTTGGGGGTGAAAAGTTTCTTAGGAGTCATCTCTACAGCTTCCTCATTTTAAAGATAAGGGAATAGAGATAAAGTAGATTTAAGTGCCTTGCCACATGTATTAGAAATAATAATTGATAGAACTGGAAGTAAAACCTAAGTCACTTGATACACAGGAGACAGTTTCTTGAACCATCAGTGTACAGTAGGGCAACTGCAACTAGAAAAGGGAAGGAAATGGGATGGTGACATCAAGCATCACAAGTATGATCTTGAAGGTCTTTTTCAGCCCTGAAGGCCTGTGTTTCTATAACGTATCCTGGAAGGGATCATAAAGTACTTAAGAAAGTCCACAATATAATCCCTACAGCATCATCAACCCACAGGCATTGAATGTACCTACTATTAAACCCACAGCCCTAGATAGACCCTAGCTGTATTTTACAGGAAGAAGGCGCCTTAACAGATTGTGAGAAGTGTAATACTGCCATCTAGCATCAAAAAAGTTAACTTCATAGGAATATTTTGTATGTTAACCAGAGAGGCCTCATAATGATTAGGAAGTATTTGGCTACTTACTATTTGACGGAAAACAGCCTTCCTAATTATGCTCAACAGGGAGTGCCTAGAGAAAAGTGGCAGAAATGTAATCAGAAAACAAAGACTTGTATGTAATGTATGATAAAGAAAATCACATATAAGGTCAAAATAATCCTGCAAAATTAAAAAAAAATTTTTAAACCCTAAAATGTCTGTGATCAGAAAGTAACCTAGACAAATCTATATCGAAAGAGATGAGTGCAGGGGCAGTGAATTATTTAATGTGTCCCTTCTGACCAGAGTATTTCTGTAACTCCCACCAAATGCCTTTTTCCTATACGAATTTAGGTGAGAAGGTGGGGAAGACAGTGATAGGAGTCACCTGTGAGTAATTGTTAACAGGCTTCATTGGATTGCCATCCTACTAGGTAGAAAATTTTAAAAACAACAACATAGGGGGAGGGGAGGCAGAGAAGGGGGTGGCGGGGTTAGATGTTGGGTTACTACCACCAATAGCCAAAAGTAAAGTGTATCCTCTGGGCAGCGAAGCTCCATGATCCAGAAGACAGCTGTAAGTTGGGAGGCGCTGCCACAGACCCAGGAATCAGAGCCTGAGAGTGTAGCCCTCGAGCCCACAGAGCAAGCAAGCGGCGGGGCTGGGGCAGGAGCCTGGCTTGTGGAGTGGAGCGCTCAGGGAGCGGGGTTGGCTGACCCACGGAGTCCGAGCTACATGCCGTCGCGTTGAGGCTCACAGCAGAGGGCATGCCCTTTGGGCATTGTTAGCAGTCTTGAAAGACCTTTGTAATGTTGTTAGGTGTCCGGGGTGCTTTACCTCGGTTCTCCTCAACGCTGAAAGAACTCACGCGGCGGCAGCACTTCTGTAAATCCCAGCAGCTTTTCTGAGGGAAAGGGACGTTTCAGGTGCTACAATCTCAGAAAGTACACGCTCTCTCTGGAAAGCGTGCAAGGCCGCATGGTGGGGGCCGCGAGAAAGTTTGCGACTGAAAACGGCCAGGGAGCCCCTTCAGGGGAGCGCAGGAGCACACGTGGAAGGAGCCGGGCACAGCCCGGGGAAAGCCGAGGGCGGAGCCTAAGGTGAGCATGCGCAGCCGCGTGCGGGAGGAATCTCACCGAACCACTGCGGGAGAGAAGAGGGGGCGGCCTCTGATTCTAGGATTCTAGGGGAAGGTGGGAAGCCAGGATGCAGTCAGGAAATGATTTTATGTAAGCATTTCTGACAAGGTTATACAAAAACAGTTTAGAGGTCTTATCTGGCCTCCCTGACTTCAAAAGGGAAAAAGAACATCCAATTCCTTACAACCCCAAGGCCATTTGCCACAAGGTCACCTTCCATCTTTCTTGTACATTGTTCTGACACCAACCGTTCCTCCTTTGACACGCTACTTTTGCTTTTCCGCTGGGTTTGATAATTTCTTGCAAAGGTCACATAGAACTCACAGCATACTCATACTCAAGGGCGGTTATTAAGGAAGGTAACAGGTTACCACAAGCCAGGATCAGAAAATATTAAAGGTGCAGCCACTAGTCCACAGCAACACCTCTCCTCAGCCAGTAGCCAAATCTCTCTAGTCCTCAGCCTCTCAGCCACGTGGTTCTCTGGCCTCTGCTTTCTCTCTCTCTCTCTCTCTCTCTCTCTCTCTGCTTCTGAGACATCTCTCCCATATGGAAATGCGCTTTTTGTCTTTCACCCAAGGAAGTAAAAGGTTCACATCCTCTAGTAAAATGGAGACTCAGACTGTATCCCACCTTTAACAAATGGCATAGAGGCTAGAATTTATAGTACATTGCAAAAAATATTATGCCTAGAAAGGCTACACTAATTGACTACATCTCAGGTAACCGAGGAGCTCTCAAAAGTAAGAGACCTGAATCTCCAGTTATATAGTATTTTGTTGTGACCTTTCTTTTTTATTATATTTTTGTTTTTCTTTTTTTATTTTTTCCAAATCATTTTAGCTCTTATTTTTTAATTAATTTTCATATGTGAGAGGGCTTCAGAAAATTTGTGAAAAATGAAATTAAAGAGAATGGAATTTTTTCTCAAACGTTTTAAAGACCCCCTTATATAGTATGAGTAAAGGCCCCACTTTATTCTTTTGCATGTGTTATCCAGTTGTCCCAGCACCACGTGTAAGAGATTGGTTATTCTTTCTTCATTGAATTGACTTGATACTCTTGTCAGAAATTAGTTGGCCACAAATATATAAGTTTACTCTAAAGCCTCAATTGTATTCCATTGGTCTTTGCACTGGTAACTCTGTTTTGATTACTGTTGGCTTGTATTAAGTTTTGACATTGTTATGTGTGAGACTTCCTACTTTGTTCTTAATCAAGACTGTTTGGCTATTCAGGAACCCTTGTATTTCAATGTAGGTTTGAGGATCAACTTTTCCATTGTCTCCAACAAAAAAAGCTGTTGACATTTTAATAGTATTTTCATTGAATTTGTATATAACATTGGTTAACATGGACCTCTTTATATATTAAACTGTTAGGTTTCTGGGATGGTTAATACCTCCTTGGTTCTTGACTTCGCATACTGAAAGAATTCACAGCGAAGCCCGTTTTGTAATCCAAGTGGGTTTTTATGAAACTCGGTGTTAGTCTTGAAAGGGTACCTGCTATCCCTGGGAAGTGTGCCAAGCTGTGCTGAAGCCATGCTGAAGTTCACAACTGGGCTCGAGCAACCATGTGGAAAAGAGCACCACATGTATGGAACTGTGGGCAGGGATCCTGGGTAGCCAGAAGCTCAAGAGCCCTAGAGGCTTAGAGCATGTGGGCCAAGAGACTGTAGGCCCTGAGAAGGCCTGGAGTGGGCCCTAAAGGGGCATGCCCAGGCAGTGCTAGTGCACCCTACCCTCCAACCTGCCACTGACCAGGAGCAGGGTAAAATAGAGACCTTCTCACAGCCAGGATTTCAAACCTCTGGCTGGAGAGGCGTGGTTGATGGTATTGGTTGACCCCATTGGTTGAGTTAAGCCCACCTGGGTGATGTCATGAGCCTGGGCCTAGTTTGAACACCCAGCTGTACCTCCCACCTGGCTGGGGGCTTGAGTATGAACATGCTCAGTTTGGTGTCTTCATAGGTGTTCAATGGTTGCCTGATTTCTTTCCAAGCTCCTTTATGGGGGCTTTTGCAGGCATGGGAGGGACAACCCCATTCCCTAAATCTAGCTACCTAACAAAATCTTCCAATCCATAAAAACAGAATACCTTCCCATTTGTGTAGGTCATCTTGGATTTCTTAGGAACCCTGGTGGTGTAATGGTCACAAAATGGGCTGCGATCCACAAGGTAGTCAAATAAAAACCACCAGCAGCTCCTTAGGAGAAAGACTGGGCTTCCTACTCTCATAAATAGTTATAGTCTCAGAAACCCACAGGGGGTCTCTGTGAGTCAGCTATGGTTTTTTGGCTTCACTTATTTTATGATTTTGCTTTTGGATGCTTAAAATATAGCTTGAAGATAAAATTGAAAAGCTAATAATTACACAACAACTTTTTATCTTCTCCCTTTGCAGGTCAATCAAGTACTTATTGTATAATATTACTCATTGTTAAAGATTTTGGAGTAGATTTTTAAGAGGTCTAATCTCAGTAGGATCTATCAATGTGTTTGTTACAGAACACTGAATGCATATGTGCATAGATTTGAATGTGTGATCGTTACAGCTTGAGAAACAGAGAGCCTCAGCATGTGGATCAGAGGAGACAGAATGAGGCAGACCGAGGACCAGCTATTGCTTAAGTCATTCCGACCCCAAGTGATCAGAGCCAGCAGGTTTTATACTCATAGACAATCTAGGGTGTTTGCACAAGTGGTGTTTACAATGATTTAAATAAAAATTAGAGCAGAACCTTCTTGCAAAACAGGATCTGGGCTAATGCTGTTTTGCATCTGGAACACTGGATATCATTTTTTGTTTCTTTAATTGAAGTTTAATGTTTATACAATGTTAGATTTTAGCCCTAAATATGTAAAGATCCACTAATAATTCAGGCCAATTCAAAAGAATACAATATAATTTTGTAAAAACTATGAGATTTGTATTCATTTTAATCTGTCTTAAAATAAGCAAGAATTCCAAAATAAACTTTAAGAATCATTTAGAAGTCCCTGGGTGGCTCAAAGCATTTGTCAGCTCTGCTATTATATGAAAAGTTGGCACCAACCAGGCATCTCGGAAGACAGGCCTGGCACTCTACTGCTGCACGGCCCCAGCTGTGAAACCCTGCGGAGCAGTTCTGAATCTGAGCCAAGTCTACAGCAGCACACGCATTCTAAGAAAGGACAGGGTCTAAGAAAGGACAGGGTTGCCACTCAAACCAATTTCAGCTAATGAACTCCTGTTGTGTGCTGCTGAGTTGATTCCAACAAATAGTGAACCCATGTGTCAGAGTGAAACTGCCAGAGAGGGTTCCCTGGGCTGTATCTTTACAGGGGCCAGCATTTTCTCCAGCAGGTCCAAATCACTGGCCGTGCAGCTAGCAGCTGACACTTAACCATTGTGCCACCAAGGCTCCTAGATAATGAATTAAAGTATCGTAATAGGTACATTGAAAAGTGCCATACTTTAATGCTCCAGAACTTTCACCCCACTACTAGGGTCTGAGGAGGGGAAGAGGATGAGAATTTCTAGTGGCCCTGCTGTTGCTGCTGGGGCGGGCAGGGGGGTGGGCAGTGAGTACCACAACCTTCTCTTGAGATGGGAGTGGCAGGGAAGCCCCTTTGTCCTGTGAAAGTTCTGTCACAACTATAGCTCAGATGCTACAGACTCCTGCTTTAAGATGTACTAGATTGTTATTTTGTTTGGGGGGAGCAGGGGTTAGTTTGTAAAATCACGTTTACTTTTTAAAAGTAGATTGTCATTATCTAGTTACATCTTAAAACAGTACTCAAAGTTAATTGAAAACAATGCCTTCAATGCTACATTGGCAGCAGAAACTGCTTATTAATTACTATCATTTTATGAAGTCCCAGTGATCTACATAAAAAACAGAGAATATATAAGATTTAGTCAAAATTAATGAGAGTGACATGCATAATTAAACAAATAAATACCAGATTTTAAACAGAAACCTGCAACAGAAGTTTTACTAGGTGAGGATGTTCACTCAAAGTAGATCACTTGTACCCTGGAATCCCTGACCAGAATGACCAGAAGCTGAGAGGTTTCGCTTTTAATTGAGGACTATCCAACTTGGATTAACATTTCTGGGTGCAACATAAATTTACTACTGTATATTTTAAAAGGATTATTCCAGTTGCATTTTCTCGCATTGTAATTCATCCTCAGGATTTACAGTACTGGCAGTATTGTTAAGGGATTTTGTGTGTGGATTTTCTACAATGTCTTCATTTAATCCACTTGGCTCCTCTTTCCGATCGTGCCCCAGGTCTATCTATTAGCAAGTCATTGCCTAGGGGCTGGCTGTTTTCTGTTAGGCTTCTACTTGCCTCAGAAGCAAACCTCTCACTTTCAAATGTGTTCATCATAATGTTGTCCCCGGTTTCCAAGACAGTCAAAGCCACACCAAATAAATCAAATGAGAAGCTTCCATTCAAAGGTGGCCTCCGGGAGTCAGCCAACACTCAACGTCTCTCAGTTTCAGTACAGCATAACACTTAGCTTATAAAGCATAAAACCACAAGCAGGTTGGGGAGGACTTTACAATCAGTCACTTACACACACACA